GTACGGTGGCATGCGTCGTAACACATGGCTCAGACATCGGAGCACGGTGAGTGAACTAATCATGATGGGCGATTCAGTTTTCTGCCTGCGGCGTAAACAAGACGCCAAACACATACAAAGCGCACGCGGTGTACACACACGACATGCGTTAAATTTAGAAGGCACAGTGGACGGACACAATTAGACTCTTTACATCTGTTGCTCTGATGGGCCAGGTTTCACAATAGGGTCGAACGGACAGTTGCATTGTAGACTCGCAGGGCGACAAACATGTCACACTGGCATCATAGGTTACAAAATTGAGTAAAAGTGCTCCGTGATCTCATCTTCTACCACGTAGGCGCTTATATAATGTCCTTGTGGTTGAATTTTTGAAAAAATCCTAGTTGATACTCACAAAGGTCAGAGTGGGGAGTGGTCCTTGCCAAGGTTGGAGGAAAGCTTTGCATAGGGAGGGTACGAATCGAGGCGCGACATGGCTGACAGCTTATGGCAATTTCGTCAGTAGTGCTTGGGAGGTTTGTGTGCTGTCCCAGATTAGGACATTGACATCACCATACTACGAGGAAAAAATTCGATCACCTGGAAGCAACTTCACACCTTTTAAGCCGTGTCTAATGAACGTAACTTCTGTAACTTCGTGATTTTATGTTTTCGGGTAACCTCAGCGCTCATTCAACCCATATGATGCTTTGGGAAAATATCAGGGCCAAAAACGTGTTCACTCCATCTGCAACACCTATGCTGACGAATTTTTTGGTACCAAGCTATAAGACATGACTACGTTCTATACGACCCGAGTAGTTCTCTAGGATTCCAAAGCAACAATCGTTTCAAGGTAGTAGAATGGCACGGTACCCACTTGGGAGACATACAATAACATTGGAACAATATCGATGCGATCAGCGACGTCAACAGCACGTTGTACTGGCGCAACGTTGCCATACAGCCACCACCAGTCGTGTGTGGGCAATGGGTCGCCCAGTCCCCATACACAGACTCGAACCGGGTCGAAAGGCAGACAACTTGTTCTTTCAGCCACCGGTCAGAATAATGGCGTGAGATCGGTATCATCGAATGGCGATGCGAACGCTTAAATATTCTGTCCCTTGTAAGATTAGAGACGTTATGACCGTCGTACAAAACTACACTTTCGAATCACACCGACTCGTAGTAACGTTAGTCACGAGTTCCACACAGGTAAGCGTGGGAATGGGAAGCATACGATGTAAATACTATTCAGACATACACTTAACTCTCCGTGTTGACATCGAAGTCTTCGGGAACCGTCGATGTCAGAACTTTAACCAAATCGCCAACGGCGTCACATACCTGCGTGTGAATTGTTCAACACCATGATAACGCGGACAGAAAGGAATGTTCTTACGGAGTGAAATGGAATGGTCATAAAACAAGGCGTCTATGCGAAAGAGTGAAGGAACACGACCCGACCTGCCTTGGAACTGAAAGAAGAAAAACAGCCGACTCTTCAATCACCGCGTATCACGGTGCTACATGGCGTGCCATTAACACGTCACTGCAAAACTCATTCTTAGTTTGTGGGGGTTACCGTACGAAGGTAGTTGCGAGAGGCTACGGCTATACACCCTGGCCTATCGTCGGTTGCAAATCGAACTACTCATGACCTACAGCATTCTACATCTACTATATCACCTCCCCAAGATGAGAAAACAGCTACATTTGCGAACACTTTGCAGTATACACGGACACTAGTAAAAGCTTGTGGTTCCAGATCCGAAGCGAATCCCGTGTGCTCTGAACCACGAGTGGTCAGTGTTTGGAATAGTTGGCTATTGGAAGCAAAACTTCGTGCAGCAGTTCAAAAAGTTGATAGATGTACATTTCTCCAACGTTAGATTCCAAGTACGACTACGCAATGACATTTTTTTACATGTTTGTGTGTCCCACTCTACTGTGAGTGACTCGTTTGTATGATAACACGTGGGCACTTGAAAAACGATTACGGTGCTGATACGTCACATATGGTTTTTTAAGCGTTTTTATCATATTTCGATGGAGTTGTGCAGATGCAAATTTCTAGATGCTCTTATAATACAGTATTGAAAACAGTCCGGATGAACCGGTCGGTCTACGTCCGCAAGCAAATACCAGAGTCCGATGAGGTAAATGTGTTCCGGTTGTATAAACCAGACATGTGTTCAGTAGAGGCTAACCAACTACCCTGGCCATTGTTACTGTCCAATTAACTCGTTCCAGGAGTAACAATTGGTAATGCTTGTCGGGAAAATCAGAAGATGTGGATTGTGAGATGACGTCGTTATTTGGTGCATTCTTCTTAATCACATAGCGACTGCCGTTATGCATTCAAAAACAGCAGACTGTGATTTTAGCCTACCCTGGTAGCGCAAATCCGGAGTTATATATGATCTCTTTGACATTGTTGATTGTTCATTTACATATTATTGCTGCGTACTTTTTGTGATAGATAAGAATGCACGAAATGGCGACGTCATCTCACAATCTACGTCTTTTGATTTTGCTGTTTGGAATTATAAGGGGAAAACATGTTTTAAACATTTAGATTTATACATAATTGTATGGGGCTGAAGATAAATTATCAAACACATGTATTCGTTTACCTTGACTTCTGATCTTGCAGCGGGATCCTTTAAAACAGTAAATGAGAGACGTACTCGTCAGAACAGTGGACAACCACATACGTGAGCGCTTACCTCATCTCTCCGGCTTTCTCTCTAATGCACCGTTCCTGGAGTTCACACAACATGTGGCCATAAATGGCAAAATGTTAGGGCAACAAGTTTTACAGTGGTGGTGGTGGTGGTGGGAGAAATCCAAGCAAGAGACGGAAAGGCGATTCATCACATTTGTTTCATTGGAGCCGCAAAACTCCTTACAACAGTCGGAATGACATGTAACATGCGTCCTTATATATGAATTGGTCACCGATAAGGACCCCCCCACCCTCAAAACGGTCTCGTAAGGTAAACGTATGGACAATACAATGGTACCGAGGCTTTTCAACAATGCAACTGCACGTGACTACATGCGGGGGACTAGGACTCGAGGTAAGAAACGAGGCACTTGGCCCATTATACACACACTACAAATGCCCTGGCCAGCTTTGTGCTCCCTCCTCTCAACTGGTCTGTCCATCCCTATAGCAGCTCACTGCTTCCGAATACTCGATCCAACCCTCTCCCACCTGTGTTGTCATGCCTGACGGTATTTCACTTAAGTTGGTCATCAATGTATTCAACCCTCGTTGTTCGCATGCTCTCCGTTGTGTGCATGATGCATCGGTCTCATATTTCTTCGAATCGTGTTACGAGCGAACCCGAAGAGCACCGTTGGAAATTTCAGACAGAAACACAATAGAATCGGATGACGAAGTAGCGCATGGCCAAATGCATTTGCGAGGATGCTTGCGCCGCTACTGTGCCTGATGTGGCATGCATTATGCGTTGCTATTGCAACTGAGTTGCGTTTGTACAGGGGAAGGAGTGTTAACATGATATATCAAACCTCAGAGAGCTCGAAGTGAATGTCAACAAAGCGTCTGTTGGTCCCGCGATGTCAACTACAGTAAAACCTCCGTGAGTTTACCATTCAAGGGACTGGACCAAAGTAAGCCACACACAGAGGTCTGAATCCATAAGGCTTACATGGTGTACGCCTAAGCAACAAAAAATTAAACGGTCAATTTATAGTGATGATTAGGTTCGGAGGTTTTATTGTATACTGCCAACTCCATAAGAATGTGAAGTGTCGCTGGGGAAAATTGGGGCCCGGAACCACCTCGTGACACGATGAAGCACATCAAACAGTGGCTCCAACACCAAACGGCCCAAGTTGGAGCCGCTGCTCTGCAGATATGTATGACATGCATGTTTCCACCAGGTTTGCAACAGTGCCACGAATGTTATCGGGAGTGTGTAGATCCGTTCCGATTCCGTCGTAGTAAAGGTATCGGCAGTACGCCAGTACCGACATTTTGCTAAAGAGCTACCATCACCATAGTCGTACGTGGGTCTAAGGATAGCGCCAGAGTGGCCCTATCCCTACGCAGGTTTGAACCCGCGCACTCGGATTAAAAGCTAGTGTTGTGATCCTCAAGTCCACGGGACGTCGTAAATCCCATCTACATGCTTCCCGGCCCCATTCCTACGAGCTTGCTCCGAGCGTGGAGCATGTATGTGTGGCGCAGCAGAAACCACTTCCAACCGAGCTGTCGGGGCAAACGAACAAGTGTGCTTGGAACCACGGTGACAGGTGTTTCCGAAAACGGATGCTGCCAGCTATCACTAAACATCCATATAAGCAGACCCATGTAGAGATACGCGGTTTGCGGTTGCCTCCAAGGCTTTTAAATATGCTCAACAAGCCGATAGGTCAATTGCTCAATAACAAAAAATTATTCTACCGGGAACATAAGCAAGCTAACTCCTGATACAATTCTAGCAGCTGATAAAAAATGAAAATCGGGGAAGGGTAGCGGAGGCTTAGTGACAATTCGATAAACACGCCTTAGACATCAGCATGAAAATCATCTGAAACATGCGCTCCGCATGACTAACCTCTTGCTTTACCGTTCATGTTCCCACGGGCTACAAAAATTTGTGGTGCAATGCGTAGGTGATGTTAGACAGTTGTCGAATGTTAATGATTGGAATGTTATTCCGATGAGATTACATAATTGGTAGATGAACTTGACCCGTATTATGTCCCGCAATGAAATACAGTATTCGAGTCAGTTGCTTACGGGGGCGTCGAAAGACACATCCGCAGCGCGATAGCACAATACCCGCAGGGGATAACTCACTTAGAATACTGCACGGTTACGAAAGGTTTGCTCTTATGGTGGGAATGGAACTAAAGGGATGATGTGAAAAGTGTACGCCATCGGGTGTATGGAGCAACAGGAAGAGAAAGGCAAGCGGCCTCAACTGTAGATGGTGTACAATAAACGTTACGACACACATAAACACGGAGGAACGTACCATGTTATCCAGCATACCGGGCCAGGTGGGTTTGCTCAAGGAACGCACACCCAGCCACATCATCACCCGCGATGGATCGGTGGTCCATTCAGGAGCGAATTTGGGACTGATTCCGTTGAGGTCCGATGGTCCATTCTCCGCGTACTCACCTCGTCCACGGGCTGGATCCGTTCGCTGTACAAAATAGCCGTTCACATGGCAGCCGTACCGAGAAATGCCCAACAAAGAGGATGCCGAACGCTCAATGGCGAATAACGCCTTGGCACGATCGTGCACATATACGCCGTATTCCTGAACGACACACAGGTAAAGCAAAATTATAGGGTGAGAGCCCCATAGTGACGGGAGAGAGAAGCTCAGAAACCTAATCACAAAGTTAAAAAGTATGAAAACAGAAAGATGCGACTTGGGGACAGCGAAAGCTGAGAAAAACTCTGGATTACATATCTGGGTAAAAAAAACGGACAATTTACCGGGGCCGAGTAAACAAGCAATAATCCGATGGAGGATAGAGAATTAACATCATGATTATGAAGAGCAGCAGGTCATTTGAAGTTACCGGCGCGTTGTCGAACGAAGCTTCACCTAAACACTCCGCTGTCGTTGCTTCGAAACCAGCGCCCACATGCGAGCAACCTGCGTGGCAATATGTCAAAACTACGACAAGCTAGAAGAGCCATCACTTATTGAAAAAGGCTAGTTTTTTTACTCGATCTAGGATGTGGCAGAACTACAGAGAAAATCATTGGTATCCGGGAAATGAGGTCACAAACCACTAGGTTGGGTATGTGGGTGGTCCGTTTCGTTTTCCGTGCTGAGAGCCATACGACTCACTCTGTGCTTAATTTCGGAAGCTCACAGGAGATGGCTTGCATCCTGCACCCGGCGGTGTGATTGCCTAGAAGAGTGTGCTTGAGTTTGATACGTAAAGTGAAAACTGAAAGGAAGCTGCCTCAACGGAACTGCTTTGTCGACACATAACAGCTAGCTGTTCGTGACTGCGTGTTTCTGATGAAGAATGTTTGTGTAGTGTTCTTAAATCAGACTTCAAGTCCCCTTCTCTAGCTTTAACATTCCTCAACATTAGAATCACTACGAGTGTATGGGGATGAACAAGCAGTAGAAAGCACGGATGTACAGTCTTGCCTGGATGCAAGCGAATAGCTCAACGGTGGTGCCAAAGTGAAACTAGGGATCGATACAGGGAAACAAACAAACTGGAGGTAAAACCCAAAGCTGGACTTGGTACTTACGCGAAAATTGTGCACTAGATGGTTAGTAGTCGGTAGTGCAGGTGGTGACTGACAGGTGAGCGGGGGTCAGCGTTATGCAGGACCGACGCTTCGCTGATGCGCAACCATCACCAGTTGCACGTGGGCGAAGGATACTGTGAGGGTCGTCCTGTGCCTACGCAGGCTCAAACCCGCGCGGCCAGATCAGGAGACAGGCTCGTTAACTGTAGGCTACGGGCACCCTGTTAACAGTTGGATCGAATATAATACAATTGCCAAGGCATGCGACAACGCCCAGTCGTTCATTCCAGTAAAGCCCGCTTGTCGTGAAAAAACGAGATGCATGTCGACGAAAACATCGCTGCGTTCTCAGCGGTGCGCCGCATTGCGGCCATGCCACCACCAGGTGCGCCTTGGCTACGGATCCGGCGAGGTCACCCGCACCGATGCAGATTCGAACTGGTGGCTTGTGGATTAAGACGATCAATTTGGTAACCGGCCGATAGATAAGTACTCGAGCAGTAAAAAACAATCTGGTGGCGGTGATAGCCACCATAATTGACGATAACGGGGTCAGAAGTAAAGACACATTAGATATACAAACAGAGAGGTAGAAAACGTAGCCACATGAATTGTATGGGACTGGTTACCCAGTAACGGTGGCCATACGTTTCCACACTCAATGAAACCATGCAAGCCCATTGAGTACCGCGACGTGCGTTAATTGCGCGCCCGGAATCTGGATGGAAGGAGGGGGAAGCAATCCAATGACTTGGTCAACAGGAATGAAGGTCCTCACTTCAAAGTTGGCGCCGGTTGGTGCATCCCGACTGCCCGGCTGGGGTCCGAAGGACGATGAACACGTTTAGTTGGAAACACTTGCTGATATAGCAAAGATTGGGCCCCAATGGCCTTTGTGTTGTGAGTTTCCTTGTTCATCCCCATTCCGCTTATCTTCTCCCTCCAAACGTGAGCTCCCTCTTGGTGCATAACATATTACTAAGTAGTCTGTGGCCTGTATTTTTAGCATTACACAATTTTCGGCATTTTGTTTTTTCATTTGTCTTATCTTTAAATATTGCGCCAGGTGAAGTATGTTTCGCACCTATAGCTTATGTGTAATAATGATGATGATGATGACGACGACGACGACGATGATGATGATGACGATGATGAGAACTGAGAACTGGTGGGAAGCAGCGAGTAGAGGTTTCTCTGTGTAGCTGCATCATTCATCGCTTTCGGACATGAACTTTTTATTTATCGTTTCGCTCTTTGTACTTTGCATCTGCAAATTGTTGGTCTAGTAGCATCTTGAATTTAGACACGGTGTTCGCTTCTACTATATGCTGAGGCAGGTCGTTCCAGACATTCACCACTCTGCGTTCGAAACAGAGTTGATGGGCGACCCGCCTCAAATCCGGGACGATAAGTTTATACCGGTGTCCTCGCGTGCTGCTTAGTGTGCGCAGATGAAGTAGTTGTCTCAACATGGGGTAATCACCCAGATGTAATATCCGGTGCGTCATGATGAGGTCAACCCTCAGCCGACGATAAGATAGGGTGTATAACCCTAGTTTCTTACATCGGTCTTCGTATGACATACCTCGTAAGTTGGGAATCAGCCTGGTGGCTACATGCTGCACCCGCTCAAGCTTGTCTACTTCTCCCCGGGTGATGGGACAGTATGCGGGAGTGCCGTACTCCAGCATTGGTCGTATTATCGAGACGAAGAGGCGAGTGGCAATCTCTTCGGACCAAGTGCTAAAGCTGCGCCTGAGAGCCCAAAGCATACGAAGGCTGTTTTGGTACAGCCTATTCGTGTTGTCAATGGACTTTAGGTCACAGCGTGAGAGTACACCGAGGTCGCGCACGAAAGGAGCGGGATGCAACGGTTGACCAGCCACTGTGTACGTTCGGCCGTGATCATACTTACCCAACCTCATGAATTGCGACTTGGCAGGGTTGATCGGAAGGTTAACCTCTGCAGACCATGTTGCGAGGCGGTCGAGATCCTGCTGAAGTAAATCGCAATCATTGAGTGTGCGGATTACTCTCCACACTTTCAAGTCATCTGCGAACAAAGCACAATGTGATTGTAGTAGCTGAGGCACATCGTTTATATGGATTAGAAACAATATCGGGCCCAGTACAGTGCCTTGGGGCACGCCGCTGCTCGATGGATACCAGTCAGTTAGATGGTTGTCCACCTGGACTCTCCACTTCCGATCAATAAGGAAATTGCTGATCCATTTGTGCAGCGAACCACCAACACCGCACATCCTCAGTCTGTCAAGGAGCACTGCATGGTTAACCTTGTCAAAAGCCTTACTGAAGTCAATGTAAATGACGTCAACCGATTGGCCTTTGTTCAGCGCTTGTAACCATTCGTGCCTCGTCAACAGTAGGTTGGTGATGCACGAACGACCTTTCAGGAAACCATGCTGTGCGGAGGTTAACAGGTTTTTCGACTCGAGTAGCTGCAGAAGGCTCTTTTTCACAATCTTCTCGAGCGTCTTTGCCAAAACTGCCGTCAGGCAGATCGGCCGGTAGTTATCCACTTTGCTTGGGTTACCACCTTTCGGGATAGGCTTTACGACTGAGCATTTCCAGTCGTCCGGTAGTAGACCAGTGGATAGTGACCTGTTAAACAGTTCAGTTACAGAAGGTGCAATTATGGTCGATAATGACTTGAGGATTAGTGGGTGTATACCATCTGGCCCAGCAGGTTTCGTCCCGTCAAGATTTGCTAGAATCTTGCGTACATCCTCAATATTGCAGTCCAGGCTGTTAAGTTCGGCTGGAGCGGTGCTCGTCGAACTCATTACAGACACCTGGTCACTTGCGAATACGGAGGCGAAGTGCGTTGCCAATGCTGACGCACGATCTGTACTCGAGGTTAGAGGCTGTCCTTCTGAGCCTTCTAACACTGGGATACTAGCTATAGGCCTTAGGCGCCGCTTCACATATGCGAAGATCCTCTTGGGAGCAGTTTTTGCGGCAGTTGCAAGCTCCTCTTCGAAGCTTCTGCGTTTGCTTGTTTTCGCCTTGTTGCAGCGATTTCGTTGTACCTTGTAGGCATTGTAGTCCTCATCAGAGCCAGATAACACGAATTTGTTCCATAGTCTACGTCGCCGTCGGGCCATTTTGTTGTACTCTTTGTCAAACCAATGTGGTTTGACTGGCCCAACTTTCCGAAATTTGAGGGGCACAAATCGGGCGCACAACGATTTCACTCCCTCTTTAATGATAGCCCAACAGGTTTCAATAGATGAATCCTGTGGTAAAGACCAGTCTATCTGGCTCGCTGCTCGAATGAGGCCATTAAAGTCCGCCTTCCAATAGTTGAAGGTTGACTCTAGTGGGAGAGGATACGGTAGCGGTAGTTCTAAACTGCCTATGATCACTGAGTGGTCACTCGCTCCCAGAGGCTCTAAGACTTGAATGTTATGTACACGCTGCTCACAGCTAGTCAACAGCAGGTCTAAGCATGATGGAGTTGCGCGCGCTGTAATGCGTGTCGGTTGGTTGATGTGCTGTGTGGCCGCGGTTTCAAATAGCAACTCCGTAAACTTCCTCTCGACTTCACAGTGGCCGGGGAGAAGTTCAGCTTCAGGCCACTGTATTCGGGGCAAGTTGAAATCGCCCATGAGTAGGAACATCGGACGACTCATGTGGTTGCGGACATGCGGCAACCAGTCCAAACTGCGGCTCAGTGGGCTGCGATATACCACGCCCACGAGCAACTCGCAGCGTCTGAGGTGTATCGAACACCATAACTGCTCACATAGACCATCAGCGCTTTGATAGGCGCTCACTAGTCTCCCACACAAGGAAGACTTTATGTAAAGTAGAACGCCACCGCGATCATTTGATGGTCTATCACAGCGGAAGCATGAGTAGCCGGTGATTTCCACTTCTTGGACGGTTACGTCGGAGTTTAACCATGTCTCAGCAAGGCCTAATACGTCCGGTCGCTGAGAGCTTACGAAGTCGTACAGCACATCGCGTTTGTTCATCAAACTGCATACATTAGTAAAGGCTACGCGCAGACCGCGG